GGCTTGAGTTCGGCAGACGGAGAGGTGGTGCGCAGTTTCTCCTTCTGTTCTTTTATCCTTTTGCTTTCCAGTCGTCTTTTTTCTTGTTCTTTTTTTCTTCTGAAACCCCCCCGCCCCTCCTCTTGTGGCGCCGATCAGAGCCTCCTCTCCGACGTGGCGTCCGACGGGGGGAGAGAGCAGCAAGGCGAGCGCAGGGTGCGAGCAGGGCTTACAGGCGTGACGTTAATAGTAGCGTCGATGTGGAAAGGATCCGTTGTAGCAGCTAAAGGGAGAGAATGAGCGAGCTTGGATCTTGCTCAGCGCTGCTCTCTCTCTCTCTCTCTCTCTCTCTCTCTCTCTCTCTCTCTCTCTCTCTCTCTCTCTCTCTCTCTCTCTCGCTCACTCTCTCTCACTCTCTCGCTCTCTCTGTCTCTCTCTCGCTCTGTCTTGCTCTGCAGTGTCCTGAGGTAGTTGGGTGAGTTCAAAGCACTCAGACCTTTTTTAGAGATGCACCTCTTGAAAATCCTGTTGTCCCGCTGCACTCTTATTTATTTTAAATGTGCTCTCGTCGCCTGGCCTAAGGGCATGTAAAGGAGGGTGGGGTGGGGGTGGGGGTCTTGTGGTAGCCAGTTGAGAATGCTGTCTCACCCTTCACCATTTTTTTTTTCTCTAGTGGAAAACTAAAGGAGCATGAATGGAGTGCTGACGCATTCTGCTCCCGGAGCTTGTGCCGGATGCGGTTAACTACGATACACAACCCCCCCCCATCAGCCCCTCCGCTCACCACCCGAGCTCACTTCACATTCACCTTTCTTTGCTGTCAGAATCCCCCTTAAACCTTCACTGTGTGCCTCGTGAGTCCAGCAGCAAGCCATTTTCAAAAAAACAATACTTTAAATAACCAGCATGTTTGTTGAGCGGATATCATTGCATCATTTAATTTGTCATACCTCATAATGGAGGCCGTAAAATGTTCTCATTAAGTGAGACTTTTTTTTGGGCACTCGCAATGCCCACAGGCCCGTCATTTTCTGTCGCTCGGCGCGTTTCTGTCATCGCACGTCTGTCTGTGCACTTGGAGCCTCCAGAACGAATGGGGCTTCAACCCTCACCAAGAGCAGAACCTTGCAATCCCGTAAAAGGTCACTCTCAGGATGGCAATCGGCGAGAAACGAGACACGCTTTACCTTCCGCCCCTCGCGGCGCTTGAAGCCTAAAACAAATGCGCCCTACTGTCCCATCAACTCGATGTCGCCGATGATTTGTACAAGCCCCATGTCCATTAAACCGGGAAGCTTCGTGGGGTAATTGATGGTGGCTAAAGCTCGCTGTGACAGCGCTGCTAGGTGCGTGCGCGTGAGCTAGCGGATAAGCGTGTGATAGCGCTAGAAAGGAAAGAGAAGGGAGCGCAAGCACGGCAGGCAGAAAAGGTCATAGCGCCTGCAGCGCGGAGCACTATTCCCACCGGCGCAATGAGCACACTGCCGAGCTTCTGCATTATACACCCACAGACTTTCTCCGTTACTTCACCGCAATTGAATACCAATGGGCTTCAATGGAGCACACGGCAGCCGCATGAGTATACCGGAGAGGAGTTTTCCTCCGTTCGGATTAAGCCCTCCCCTCTAAAACAGGGATTCCCTCGCAGGACAGCCAGCGTGAGGCTTCTTTCCTCATTGATTGTCCAATCTGCAATGGCACGATGCGTGCGACGGCTGGTGAAAAGCTGCTGTGTAGACGCGGTGTGCCACCGTTTGGTGAGCAGGTGACCTGGAATGAGTCCATCCAAAGCTTCAGTGACCCGGAACGTCATCTCACAGTGGCTTTTCGTCCCGTCCACTTCCCCTGTCTCCTTGTATCTCCTTGCTCTGTGGTCTATTGCGTTGTAAAACGTTTTTTTTTATTTTTTTTATCCCTGTCAAACCTTAATGCGGTCAACCTTTAGAGGTGAGAGTGTGCACCCAGAGTTGACGTGGCGAACCAAGAAAAATCACTTTTCCCGAGTAAATGGCGTTCTCCTGGCGTACCAGCAGGATGTGATCCAGGCCAAATTTTTCGTACTCGGCTAAGCTGTTAGATTTGGAGCTGCGTTCCGGGGCTTTCTATTGCACCGGTGTACAGTTTGCACGGGTGGACGGCAGCCAGGAAGCGAGGTCACGCAGCGGGGCCCCATATGTTCACCGTAAAACACACGCTCGCCTTGACGAGACGAGTGTTGTCAGGCCGTACCTCCAGGACCCACCGACTGGTGATGAACCGACGAGGTGTCAGATATGCGGGACCTTCACACCATCATGCCAGCCCCGATGCCCTCCGCCTGCCCTCAGGCTCTCTGGAGCCTCCCTAGAACCGGAGGCTACCGCATGTGGTTTGGGGGTATGGCGCGACCTACTTTGGCGCGGCTTTGTCGACCCGCGGTCTTTCGACGGGAGTGTACAAACTGTGCCCAACGCAACCCAGCAGCCCCCGGGGCGAGTGCTGGCAGATCTGGGCTTTGGCCATTCACATGTAGGTCAGCGGCCCCCCCTGTGTCCGTTATTGCATATGTGCGCTTGTCACCAGTTCCGTTTGGATTAAACGGGCCGCAGTGCCGATCCGATGAGTGCAACGTGTGTCGGAACGGTCCGACAAATGGTCACTCACGTCATTGCCGGGATCAAGGAGTCACGGTGCAAATCCGTAGGCGAGTTGCGCATGGTTCACCGCGTGATTCCATGTGAACGACCGCCAGTTGTGAAACTGCTGCGGCGTCGTAAGGGTGGGACAAGCCATCATTTGCACAACAGTATTGTTGCAATGGGATCTCGCATCTATATGCTCTGACTGAAAAGGTCATTTATGTCTCTGGTGTTGAATCAGAAATTCAAATGAACAGAAGAGATTTTCATCTTGTGTTCAGGTAAATGTCTGTAGTAGATTTCATTTGTCCTTTTTCGTGCGCTCAACAGTTTTTGTCTTCCTCCGTTCTTTAAAGTGCTGATGCGCGGTTATTAGACCACCACAATCTCGCGTGCTTTTCTTCCATCATATCCATCGCAATTAGCGTTATTTGGGAATATGCTAACATTTCCAGCACCGTTCTTAGATTTGCAAATCCAAGGAACCGTGTCGTCGTGCATATAAACAGCGTAATCATCCTGCCTTGAACTTGCCGCCTACAAGGATTTTTATTCTTGGGCGCACTATTTTCAGCCCCCATGCCCTCAATCTGGGGACCATTATGACATTTTTGCACCGACTCGAGTGGCCTTTTAAGTGGCCTCTAATGTTCCAATGCTTGATTGCGCTGGCCGCAGTGATGCAATATTATTTTAAGACACTTTTTTTTTTTCCCAGGCCACTGCACTGAAACACACACGTGCAATTCAATGATTCTGACCTTCAGGCAAAAAAAAAAAATCCTGATTACAGTCCATCCACATTTTCATCTTCATTTCTAGGAATTAATACTGCGAGAGATTACAGACACACACACACACACAGTAGTTACAGTTCTAACAGCTTTGCTGTTTGCGATATCATTTCATAAGCACCACGCAAGTTTAATAATGAAGCAGCTTTTCCGGAGATTAATATTGGGCAATAAATACACATTAGCAGCGTCGGCCTGGCCAGGTTGGATAATCTGCGCGTGAGACAGACCTTGAACTCCATCCTGTCAGGTTGCTTTCTGCCCCTGTCCCCTGTCCCCTTTTTTTTTTTTTTTTTTTTGGCCATCTATTTTCAGTCCTAAATTAACACATATTTGCAGTTTCTCAAATGAGGGCAAGATCAGGTCACGGCGGTTCAAGGCAAAAAGGATGAGTGTTTCCTTTCGCTCTCATCCCCCCTCCCTCCCCCCCCTGCGTTATTCAATGTTTGAGCTTTAGCGAGCTGCCATTGTCTCCAGACTAATGGGCTTCATTATGTCGAGCTGTGTTCCTAGCAGCTGCCAGAGTCGGGATTAGCCGTAGCGCTGTGTTAGCTGAAAGCGGAAGAAAAGGCGCTGCTTTGGGAGCAGTCCTTAAAACCTAGTCGGCGTGGGTAAGACGACACAAGTGCTCTGTTTTTGAGCTCATATCCCCCCCCCCACCACCCCCAACCCACCCCTCCAAAAATATATTTTTTCTTGCTCTTGTCGTGGCCGCATTCGAATTCATTGTGTGCGTTTATCACGATGTTGCTTTTGCCCACTGACAGGCCGTAGAAAATGGATGTCTCTGTTGCCGGGCAATATGCAGGTAAAACACAGTAAGTCATGGCAGCGGGAGGTTCTAAATCGTTGGAGTTGGCAGATAAGCTGCCATCTTTGCAGAGATCCCCCCCTACCCTCCCGCCTGCTTACTCTCCTCTTCTTCTGCATCCTGACAGAGTTGCTACTTTTGATTTCGGGCAACAAAGGATACACACACACACAAAAAAAAGGCCTTTTTCCTTGAGGTCGTCATGTGGGCCGACGAGTTTCGTTGAATGTCGTTTGAGGCACAAACAGTGATTCGGCGCGCACAGCCTTGATAGATGAGTCCTGGCACTGTAAGTAGTCTTACAACGGAATATCTGCAGGTAATCAGATCAGACGTTTAAAGCTCTTAAAAGGAAACTGCGATCCTGCCAAGATATTCTTCTTCAAATATCTCCGCTAACTCCGTCGCGTGACATTTCAATCGAAACCTTACAGTGATCCCGCTGACCTCCAAACATCCTTTTTCGACGCTTATCAAAAGTCATCACCTTAGCGGCGGGCGTTGCGACCCAAACCGCTAATCCTAAAATCTCGGTCGCATTTTGTGTCGCGTGGGATTAGTCCGACCGAAGGTGTTTGATTGATGGGGTTAAAGTCGGGGGCAGCTGGGCACAAACTGACCAAAGGCATTCTTACAATCTGCTCATTCAATTGGAAGTATAATAAAAGGTAAGGTACACACTGGTCACCTTCACTTTAAGTCGGGCCGCGTGACTCGTCATCAGGTGTGAGGATTTACTGTCCGTGTGCATAAAAGTAGGC